AGTTAAATTCTTCCATGGGGTCTTCAAAAACCATTGGCAACCTTTCAACTCTGAAGGTCATATGCAGCAAGAGGCCAAATGAAACAATGTAATTAATAACCTGTAGAAACATGTCAAATAATGCATGGTGGTGTAATATTACATTTCTTGGTGAAATCAGGAAAGCCTGGCATCAAAAGCCTAGAGGTTTTCCTGAACTTTATATAGGATCAGAAACATCATAGAAATCACCTGGTTATTGGGTGCACTGCTTTATCATGAATGAGGCAAACATTTTGTCACATAAATAGCACAGGGGTCATGATTCCCAAGGATTTAAGTTTTTTAATTTAAAAGTTAGATACTGAATTTTCAGGGTTTTGCATAAGGATAAAACCTATAAAGCTTGAAATTCAAACATTCTGATTCTGTCAAAATGAAATATTTCTAGCAACATTTTTTTACATTTTTAATTCACCAAAAATTTTCAGCGTTAAACTTGAATGTTTTTCAATATACTTAAATTGTCAGTAAACCAGTAGTATCTATCTATTTGTTCAGCTTTAGTAATAAATGTGATCATTAAAAAAAAAAAAAAAAAATCTAACAAACTAGACAAGTTTCTAAGGCAATTCTTTCCTCCCTGCCCCCTAGCACATACTTTGTTTATTTCAATCAAATATAAGAAGTTTCACAAGTTTAGGATTATACAACAAAGGCATTTTCAGGCCAACACTTACTTTCAGCACTAGCTCCTTTAATACATGGAGAGAAACTAGAGTAACTACAACTCAGAGAAAACTTAGAGAAATGTTTTCCTCATTTACTGTTAAAAGTCTTCATGAGCAAGTGACCATGAAGCATCTTGCAAAGCAGTAGTTTAATAATACAATCCATGAGAGTGATTACTATTAATAGTGATAAACTTGTGTGATTTTGGAAGAGGAGAAATGTCTATCTTTGCACATTGCTCCCCATTCAGCTGGACTTCTGTCCCTGAGCTGCTGTGCTATTTCTGCTGGAGAAATGAAAAAGTGACAGCTCTTTCAATATGTTGCTCATGGAAACAAAAAGAGGTCAATGGAGTCTCAGTTTCCTCTCCTAAACTCTTTCTGCATGGGGAGGTTAACAACAGATCAGTCCCCATCAACCCCAGGCCTCCGTGAATCGTTCCTAAAGAAGATTGGGTAGGGTAAGTAGGTAGCAGAGTAGCTCTTCGACCTCAAATCATATTTGCAGCCACAGAGGGAGGTAACCCTCAACTAGACTGGCAGCTAGGTAACTACAGCCTGAAAATACTCAAAGGTCCACCTGAATCTGCAAAAGCCTACGGTTTAGAATAGCAGCAACAAAAAACAACATAGTTTTGATTGCAGTAAATTAAACATCTCGGGTCAGGTGAGAGAAAAGCAGTGAAACACTCACGTTTGGCAGTAGTATACAGAACCCCTTCGTTCAGGAGGAGGAATCCAAGGAAGACCAGGCAGCACAAACCTTTCATGGTGTTAGTGAGCATATGTGTTGCACATGCAGGTGAACAGACTCTGTTCTAGCACAGGTTAACTTTAATGCTCCTCCAACCTCTTCAGAGAAGCAAGAATAATATTTCACTGCTCTCCTTCTCTTCCTCCTCCCTGATTAAATGAAGGGCTGCAGGGCTCATCATGTGATGGCATTAAGCAGAGAGGCATGATTTTGTCTTCTGTTCAACTTTTCAGCTCATGTGCTTCTGACTCACTCTTTTAAGCACGCACTGGCATTTCTAAGAGTGCCGCCTGGAGTCATGCCATTTACCCCTCAGGTATTTCTGTACCAATTTTGCATTGTTTTCAGGTTTTGTAATTATTTAGTTTCAAGTTAAAGCCATATTCTGCCAGTAAAGACATGCTACTTCTTTTTTTATTTTGGCTTGCAATTGTTTCTGCAACAGCTCAACCTGTTGCAGAAACCTTGATGAACCTTGATGAACCTGTTGCTGATTCACATGGTATCTGGAGGATGTGATGGTCCCATTTCTGACTTAAATGGTGAATGGCTGATTTCAGCTCATCTTCGGTTCATACTTAGCACTGATCTCAACATTGATGCACTCTTGAAAACGTTGTTCTGTATTACACACTCTGGAGTTAAAATGTATTTTAGTTATATGATATCATCATATTCCTCTGTTCAAGAAGAGGACGGATAGCCACTGATCAGGGAAGATCTAGGTACAGCTGTGTCGATTTTCTACTGTGGGTATTTCCGCTGTTTCTGAACTTTGCTGGTTGCCCTCATCTGCCACCTTTCTGGTATTTGTGTCAGAGTGTTTTTAAGCCGCCTTCAGATGCATTGGATATTGGTTACAGCCAAGGCTGGGGACTTTGACTGGGTGTGCCAATGCTCCTGCTGGGACCAAAGCCAAAGGTTGCTGGCTAAAGATTCTGGCCCCTCCACTCAGGGTCAGACCAATTGCCATGTTCGGAGTCAGGAAAGAATTTTACTCCATGGTCAGATTGGTATGGATTGTAGGGTTTTTTGCCTTTCTCTGCAGCAGGGGGCATGGCCCTCTCCTCAGGATCTCTTGAGTGTATATTGACAACATTTCATAGAAGCAGAGTGTTGGCTGCTGTGGTTCTCCTTCTTTACTTGTGACAGGTTAGGGTGTTAGATCTGTGTTGTGTCAGTGTTGATGGTGGTCTTACGTAGAGTTTAGGTTATGGATTGTATAGGATGGTTTGGATAGGGATGATCCTGCCTCAGGCAGGGGGTTGAATTAGATGACCTCTGGAGGTCTCTTCCAGCCCTACTCCTCTATGATATTGGGATGCTGTGTTACACTGGGTACAGCTACACATGCTTGGATGCATTTACTAATGCACATTAAATTTAGTACCTCCAATATGAGGGTGCCTATACATGAGTGCAGAGGCTGCTCCGACGCACTGGAATTTCAGCGCATCAGAGCAGACTAGATTAATCGAGGCTGCTGGAGCATGGTAATTACTGCGGTCCAACAGCCTCCTGAGTCTTGTGTATCAGCGTCCCCATGTTTAAAAATGGTGGTGGGGGTACTTGAACTCAAAGCTGCTCTAATTAAAGTGCCACCCCCAAGCCCTGGAGCATGTATAAAAGTGCTTTGAGGTACAGGCAGTTCTCAGACTTACAACACGATTGGTTCCTGAAAACTGCATCTTTTTAAGTCGAAACGTTGTAACTCAGAACCAATTTTCTCATAAGAAACAATGTTATAAATGAGGGATTGGTTCCTGAACCAAGGCCCTATGCCCTATTTTCACCAAAAATACCCCAGAATTTTGTACTTGATCAATTAGAGATGAGTAATATAGCTACATTAATGTATGTACAATTGTAAATAGCAATCATATTGATTTGGAAGGACTTCTTTGAGGTGACTTTGCTGGACTTTTTGAAAGGCTCTTGGTTGGGCTTTTTGGGCACATCCACATGAGCGTGCATGTGCCTCTTGCCCTGCCTCAAACCCCTTTGAGGCGGGGCAACAGGCACGTGCGGGAACAAAAAAATTTTCCCCGCACTGCAACTTGCAGCTCAGGGAGAAAATTAGACCCCTAGGGTCTAAAAAAATTGACGTTTAAAAAAGCAGCGCAGGCAACCGGAGGCTGGGTCCTCCACAGAGATGCTCTGACTGCCAGAGCATCTCTATGGTTGCCTGTTGCCCTGGTGCTGAAACACTTAAAGAAAATGTCCAAGAAAGTTTAGACAGATGTTCTCCAGGGAGATGAGCGACGCAGCAAACTTGTTCGCTGGCGTGGTGTTGCATCAGATCAAGTGTTGTAAAATTGAAACTGATGTCATAAAGTTGAAACGGGGTGTCAATTTATAAACATTGTAAGTGCAACATGTTATAACTTGAAATCGAGGGGAATCCTGCTTATCAGGATCTGGGGGAACATCTGTTTACCAGAGCGCTCCAAGGGATGGCAAGATCAAACAGTCACAAACTCTGCCATGACCGATTCAGTCTGGACATAAGGAAGAACTTCTTCACTGTCCGAGCCCCCAAAGTTTGGAATAGACTGCCACCAGAGGCAGTTCAAGCACCCACTTTGAACACCTTCAAGACCCATTTGGATGCTTATCTTGCTGGGATCCTATGATCCCTGCTGACTTCCTGCCCCTGGGGCAGGGAGCTGGACTCGATGATCCTCTGGGGTCCCTTCCAGTCTGAATGTCTATTAAATATATGAAATCTATGAAATGTTGTAAGTCAAGGACTGCTTGTACTAAATTAACGTGCATTAGGCTGTGCTGATGTGCAGTAGTGCAAGTGCTGCTTTTTTAGTGATGCTTTATGCGTAGTAGCCTATTCTGCCACACATTAACATATTAGCACTTTTTTACACACTGCTTTATAGATTTCATAGACATTAGGACTGCAAGGGACCTTGGAAGATCATCGAGTCCAGCCCCCTGCCCAAAGGGCAGGAAGTCAGCAGGGATCATAGGATCCCAGCAAGATAAGCATCCCATTTAATCTTGAAGGTATTCAATGTAGGTGCTTGAACCACCTCCAATAGCAGGCTATTCCAGACCTTGGGGGCTCGGACAGTAAAGAAATTCTTCCTTATGTCCAGCCTGAAATGGTCTTGCAGTAGTTTATAACCGTTCAACCTCATCATCCCTTGGGGCGCTCTGGTGAACAAACATTCCCCCAGACACTGATGATCACCCCTGATAAACATATAGGTAGCCATCAGATCACCCCTGAGCCTGTGCTTTTCCAGGCTAAAGAGCCTCATAGATCTCAGCCTGTCATCGTAAGGTCTGTTTTCCTGACCTCTGATCATGTGCGTGGTTCTTCTCTGGACTCTCTCAAGCTTTTCCACATCCTTTTTGAATTGTGGGGCCCAAAACTGGATGCAGTACTCCAACTGCGGTCTCACCTGTCGCTGCCGTGC